TGGACAGTGTCTGGAGTTCATGTGTGAAAATGGTTTGATTGTGTCACACAGTGAGGAGCTGGGACAGGGGAAGGTGAAACTATCTAAGCTCACATCCTTAACCCCACACCTCTTGCATCTTAAAGGCCTGCTTTACATGCCTCCTCTTAATGGACACGATGACTGTGACCTCAAGCCGTCAGTCTGTCATTTCTACAACCAGCAGAAAGCGGCGGGGGTGAACATCCCCTCAGAAAGACAATCTGACCATGAACAGTATAAACTCCTGGGTGAGCTGGGAGATGCAGGCAGCCGGGCATGAGCAGCAGTCTCACCTAAGCGGTGGTCTTCCCCCTCTTTTATGATATACAGTTCTTATCAACATTATTGGCACCTCTGAATTTTACATACATCATGAACAGTAGGGAAACTGCTTAGGGGTAAATACACTCATGTTTGCTGTCACACCCTGCTCCGTACGATCCCGATGTGTGCCACGCCCCCCTCATTACCTCGTGTTCAACCCTGATTGTGCTCGCCTGTGTTCTATTAAGTCTAGCTTGTCTTGTGTATTTAGTCCTCGTCTGAGTCAGTAGTCCCCAGTTCCGTCATTGTATTGTCTCGTTGGATGTCCGTCCCTCCAAATAAACCCCGTTACCTGACCTACTGGCTGCAACTCGCCTGATTTCCGGTTCGCCCGAACCCGATGCTGACATTTGCTGCAGAACAGTACAAGACATGATGATAATTGAAAAAGATTGGGGGGGGGATATAATAATGGAAACATTGCCACCACACAATTATTGGCACCCATTTGAATAATTCAAATTTGAAAAAATGAGCTATATTGTCATTTCAATTAAATTAGATTCACCTGTGATAAATTGTCATTGCTCACATGACTTGAATTACCCAGTTAATGATGTTCCCTGTTCTTTTTTCATAATGGTAAAGACAAGAGAACCAGGAATGTTATTATCACCAAGCATAAGAATTGAGAACGGTACATGGTCATCTCCAAAGACCTTGGCATTGCTGGCTTCAACAGATCTCATTGTTCTTAAGAAGCTGCCCATGGAACTGTCAGGAACCTCCTGTGATGTCATGGGAAGGGGAAAATTGATCAAAGAAGTCTTCAAAGGTTGGTGCAAACTGTAAAAACAACACCGTGTAAAACTTCCACAGTGCTTAAGCCTGACCACAGTCCTTCAGGGAGAATCTTCAATGGACAATGCAGATCAGCGATTTGTTTTAGGCCGACGAAATGAAGATTATAAGAAAAATAACAGCCTGCCAACAGTTATATATGGTGGAGGTTCCGTAATGCTGTGGGGCTGCTTTGATGCCTCTGGTACTGGAGGCCTTGAAGGTATTAAATGGATCATGAAATCAGAGGATTACTGAGGCACTTTAGAGGGAAATGTGCTACCCAGTGTCAGAAAACTAGGTTTGGGCCAAAGATCATAGATCCTCCAGCAGAACAATGATTCGAAGCACATGTCCAAAAGGATAAAAGAATGCATGTAAATGTAATTGTGGATTGTTTTAAACTGGCCAGTAATGAGCCCTGATCTTAATTTGATCAAAAATCTTTGGAAAGAGCTGAAATCTGCCATTGGGAAAAGGAATCCTGTGACGACTCAAGAGCTGCAACAAATTACCATTGGGAGAGTGAGAGAAACTACTAAACTATCAAACAGGCACAGGAAGTTTATAGACAGCCACAAGAAATGTTTGAAGGCTGTCATTGTTTCCAAGGGTCATGCAACCAAATGTTAGGGAAAGGGCCCTGCAATGTTGTCCAGGTCATACCCTTTGAAACCACGACATTTATGTTGAAAAGGAATCTTTTTTGTTAAATAACTTTGGACATACTGTCAAAATATTCTGATCATACAAAGTGGGCATATTTCTGATTATTTCTGAAGATATTATAGATGATACAAAAAAGTCAGGGGTGCCAATAATATTGACCAGAACTATAGCTTGTCTTTCAGGTACATGATGGATGAGAGAAAACGAGAGGTGTCTCTTGGATAGGTTGGATCGGCCCTGCAGCCCTCACTGGTTTCTGTTTGGACCAGTTACTTGGCAGCTTCTAGTGCTCATCACACATTTGTGCACCTGGATGTTTGTGTACTGACATCCAGCTAAAGGAGATTCATCACGTGCAAGACTGGGCCATGTGAACAGCCATTATGAGTTTCCTTAAAGAGACCTTTTTAAAGCACATTCCCCTCCTGTTGCATATTAGCAGGTAACATCTTCCGGTATCCATAGTGACACATGGCACACGGCCAGCGGTCTCACTCTCAGCCAATCCCGTTAAATTCTATTGCTATCCTGAAAGGAAAAGCGTTTTCGCACATTCACACCGACATATCCCTGGTCACATGCACAAACACGTGTCTCCAGCTGAAGGTGAAGATCAGGCAGGTACTCCGACAGCCCCATCCTGCGAAGGACCAAGGATGTGTGTCTGCTGCTGTGTGTAAGCAGCATAACACACTGTGCCAGGTGTGCTATCCTTTAGGGGGGAGACGGGGTAGGACTGGTGTCCATTGGTGACAGACTCCAAGATACAGGATATGTGGAGACTGGGATCATTTCCAGAAGCTGGTACGTACGGTGGAGGTGTGAAATGGGACAGCTGTCTGCAGAATGATGATGTGCTGACAACGAGCTGGGCTGCCAGTATGAGTGGCTTCTTGTGCCGAAGTGAATCCCCGTCCCATATTTGCAGCCAAATGTCCAGCAGTTTTCACCTGCATATACAATAAAAATTGGACTTTATTGTTTTGTTTTCCCAGGCTGGGCTTAATTTTTTTGGCATCTTCTGAGCACCTGAATATGAACCAATGGGTGTCCAGAGTGGGGGTGTACCCGCCAATATTTATTTTAGCTGTATTCTTCCCACCCAAAAAACAGACCTTTTCCATTTAAATTATGAATTTGCCCCCCTCCCACCCTAATATCAGACTCTCTCCTATGCCTTTGCAGACAAAGACAAACAAGATCTCACCTTTGAGGAAGAACAAATGAGAGATTGTCCCAGGATTTTGACATCTTGCTGAAATGCATCATGTCTGTAATGAGCCAGTGTCTGGTTTCCACCCATCATCTGGGGGTTATTCAGCAATGTGTCACTCAGCTCGTGGCGGCACTGGGCTGGACGCTCTTCGGGGAAAGCCTGAAACGAAACGCCAGGGTGCTGACGACAAATTGAAAACCCTTATTGTCCGTGTACATCTGCTTTCTATTTAATGCTCTGGTGACTCACTGTCATGGGTGCAATGATTATTGCAAGGACGATCTGATAGGAATTCTGCCATGAAGGGCCCAGCCATGATCCGCGCCACATGACTACCCAGCATCCAATAAGGGCTTTGCCTGAAAGGCAGCAAGATTTACTCTCCAGGTGGGCTCCCTGTAGATTGTGAAGAACAATGTATTTCTTCGACTTTACAATCCTGAATTATAGCGGGCTTTTGATTTTATTGTCAGATTTGTTTGACCAGGTTGTAAATTTCTTGGCCACGCGTTGGATTTGCTAAATGATTCGAGTGGGTGATGGATGGAAACTTAAATTCCAAATTAAGGCCTAGATATGAAGCCCGGGGACTGTCACGGGGGAGCCAGCGAGGATGATCTTCTGAGACACGTGTCCTGAGAATGCTAATGTCTTCTCGTTCAATGCATGAAAGTGTCGACCTTTGCTCTCCTTGTGTGCGTTTGCCACAAACCTCATTAATAGATAAGCATCATATTCCCGCTTGCGACGGCCACACTTCTCAGCCGCTGTCATGTCCGCCGTTTGCTGCCCTTATCAGTGCCGTATAAGACGTCACTGGGATGGTGCTGGTGTCCAAACTGGTGTTGGGAAGCTACCAAGACCACCATGCAGGGCTGTCGTCTGTGTGTCGGGGGAGGGGGCAGGTATGTTTTCCCAGGTCCTGGACTGATCTACCAATGGACTTCCTCCCTCCTGGATCGGCCGAAGGTGACATTTTGCCAGGGAGCCCAGAACTCCTTGCTGCACCCCTGCCACCGCAGTCCAGAGTGTGACAGCAGACCGTCTACTTCAGCAAGGGCTGCAGGAAGGAGAGAAAGGAGCATGGTCACATGACACGGATGGCACCTCCATCAGGAGGTGAAGGAGGGGCTGAGAGAGAGGTGGCCGGGACCTGGCCTCCTCAGCCCCCTGAAGGACTGCTTAACACCACTGAACACACATTTTCACAAGCTTCCTGACTGTGGTGGCATTGACACTGTCGAAACCATATGCCATGTGTCAGCACAGCAAATACACTGAAATTACCCCCCTGCCTGTTCCCTCCAATTAAGGTACGTATTTCAAAGATCAAGAGTCTGACCCTCCATTACTGCGCCCCCCCCCCCACATGACCTGTGCCCCTCAGCCCACAGGGAGCTGCCCTATCCACTTCTGCACTGCATATTTGCCTTGGGGCTACACTCTGGTTTAGAAAATTGTCTGTAAGGGACTCCCCCTCACTCACCTTGCTAGCAGTGACTGTGGGCCATATGACACCCCCCCCAAAGGATAAACTACAAAGCTCATAAAGAACCCCCAGCAACCTGCTTAATGCTCCCCCTAGTGTTTATTGTGGAAGTGCTTCCACATCTTCCAAAGGTACAGCTGTGCCATCTCTCTCGGCTCACGGACTGTGTCAGAGGCACGGAAAACAAACCAGGCAGCCTTCACAGACGGAGAGAGAAGGAGGGAGGGGAGATGAGGAGGAGGGGAGGGGTGAGCGGGAGAGTGAGTGAGTACGAGTGAGAGAGAGAGAAAGAGAGAGAGAGGAGGTGCAGCCCACAGTCAGCCAGGGGTCCTGCTCTGTTTGCGGGTGCCGAGGCACAGAGCCGCTGTGGAAGACACGCACCTGCCCTCCTTGGCCATCCAGCGCCCCCCCACCCTCCACGGCCACTCAGCACCCACCCGCACCCACCCGCCCTCCTCCACGGCCACCCAGCGCCCCCCACCCTCCACGGCCACCCAGGGGAGAAGAAACCCAAAGTCCACGCCAACTTTCCTGTGTGCCTTTACAAAGAATCCCATACATTATTACTATGATTGTTACTCTGAGGACAAGCAGCATGTGCCAGCGTGGGATTTTGGGAAAGAACGGTAGGAGAAATACTTTCACCTGTTCTACTGTGTGCAGTTCTAGCTTTAACCCAGCAAAGGAGGAATTAAGTGTCTTTGTCAGAAAAGAGAAAACCAATATTGCATATACAGTATGCATGTGCCTGGTGTGAGTTTATCTCTGTGTAAACTGTAAGCTCTGCCGTAACCTGTGCTCTCCACTCTTATTTGTGGATGGTACTCTGAACACCTGAGGATTTCTCTGGGAATAATTTGGGGATCTCTCTCTCTCTCCAGCTTTCTCTTTCTCTTCTGTTGTGAAACAGTGTTGTCTGTTTTGCAGAAAAGTGGATTCATTATATCCGTTTGACGGCTGCCTGATCGGGCAGTAGAGTTCTGGCTTGTACGAGGGACCTGAACACCAGACTGATCCCTTCTGACACAGACGGGGACCAACTTTTCTGTCCTACTGGAAACAGTGACTTTGCAGGCAAACCACCAATCAGACTCGAGGATTTTGGACTCGGCTGGCTGGGATTCCGCAGAGTACCTGCTGAGATGTAGAGCTCTTTGGCACATTTTCGCTGTCGATCTTACTGAACCCAAAAGTGAGACATCAAATAACTATTTGCCCCAGCTTGCATAAGACCCTCTGTGTGTCTGCCTCATGTGGATTACAGTGCCAGGTGGCAGCACCAGGATCGGCTCTGCCACTGAGGATGATGATGGACTTGCGAATCTACGCCTCAGCCGGGTAACAGACTTCTGATCCTGCAAGATTCATCCCCACACGATGCGATGAGCCTGAGGGGGAATTTGTCCAGTTTCGGCCCAGCGTACCTGGGGCTTCCGGGTCGGGAGTTCATTAATGCCTCCCTAGGGTGCAACAGCAGCACAGACTCCGTGTCGGCCACTGCCACACTGATCGTGGCGACAGGTGAAGCCGGACACCTGGGTTCCCATTGCCTGGCCCCACCGCCAGCAGATGCCAAAAACTGGCCGGCGCTGCTTATCGTGGTGGCCGTGGCCCTCACAGTCACTGGCAACATCCTGGTCATCATGGCCGTGTCCCTGGAGAAAAGGCTGCAGAACGCCACCAACTACTTTCTGATGTCACTGGCTGTGGCCGACATGCTGCTGGGCCTCCTGGTCATGCCGGTGGCCATGGTGACCATCCTGTATGGTAAGTGAAGCTGTACAGCCAGTGCAGTGATGCATGAGTGCCCCTAGCCAGGGGCGTGGTTGATGGCCTGGGGCACTGCTGACAGCCAGGGGATTGGGTGAGGGTCAGGGGTGATGGGCAGGTCTGCAGGTAACAGGCAGGTGTGCGGATGACAGCAAGTGACGTGGGTAATGGCCAGAGGTATGGGTGTTGGCCAGGGGTGCAGGGATGCGACTGACAGCTGGTAAACAACATACAACCACTGCAGTGGATATTTTGAGTTGCCCGTGTGTACGTGCGTAAGCCTGATGTGGAGGACAGACCCATCTCTCCCCGTCTCTTCAGGGTGATTGTAAACTTTCACACTTATGTACACCGTCGCTAATTCTGTCTTATTCATATAATACATATCTATTAATACATAAAGACATATAAACATATACAGATACAGACTCTCTCAAATATACATAGCCACACTGCATACACACACACATCCACACACACACACAAATGCATTCGGCTCTTGCAAACATTTCATGGTCATGCTGTGGAAGCAGTAGCCAGGCTGGATTTGTCACCATGCCCTCTCTCTCCTCCTCTCTGTCCCTCTGCTGTCCTCCTCAGTCCCCCGTTTCTTGCTTCCCCCCCATACTCCTCTGTTTCTCTGGTATGGCCGGCATCACCGTGCGGCTTGCCAAACCGATATTGCTGGCATATGAACGCCACGGCTAGTCACGGCTGGTCTTTAACAGCACATCCACATACCAAGCGTGCTGTCACTTCCTGTCACTGTAACAGATGCACACAAGAAATGAGAGTAACAGTAAGTGTACAGGGCCATGTGAAATGGAGTCCTGCTTCATGATCTGTGTGCAATAGGGGGCGCTGTGGCTCTGAGTCTCTAGCAACCTCCTCGAGTCTGTAGTGTCTGCTTCATTTGTCTGTGTGCGTGACAAAGCTGGATATGCAACCAGACAGGCAGGATTAGGAAGGGTAGGTGTCTGTTATCACAGGGACACCAGTGCCTTGATGTGACATTATCTAAATGCATCGGCGAGGGGAAGCCATTAATCCCGATTTCTCAATCTCCCCCCCCCCCCCCCCACCCCCCCAGCATCACACATAGATAATGTGATGTCACAGGTGCTATGCTCTGGGCGGAACAGCCCCATGAAGGAGCTTAGCTTCCCGCATTTTTGAAGGGGTGCTGGTAAATTGTGCAGTTTGAAACTCCTCCGTGCTGTTTGGGGTGACTCACTGCCTTAAGGTGATGCCATTGGCTGCTGCCATTCGACCCCAATATCACCACTTGCCAAACAGCCACCTCAATGGCCAATGAGAATGACTCTTTGTTGCAATTTCTGTATCTTTAAATAATGCCTCCACCAATCCTCGGCTGACTTAAATAAACAAGTTTGCCCCCTTCGAAGCCTGATAATGCAAGAGATCAGAATTTTATTATTTTCATGTCAATTTTGCATAGAGCATAAAGATTTTATTTAATATGTTCAAAACATTCTTCTGATAAAGAATATTAGAGGTAACCAATCTCCAAAGCATTCCCTTTAAAGTTTTCTTTTGATTTTGACTTTTACTTATCATTAATGCACTCAGATATCTTTTAGTGTTCTAATTTCATTTATCCATGCGTTTTCCAAGGTTAGGTAATTATAATTAATTTAACAATTTGAATTAGCAACAAAAAACACCTGTCACATTACACATGTCATGGTCTACAATAAAAAAAATGCTGAATATAATTATTATTATATTATTAATAATTTTACTTTAACAACGGGTGGCTCAGTGGGTTGCACTGCTGCTTCACACCCCCAGGGCTGGGGATTATACCCAGGACTGCCTAGGACAGGCTCCAGGTCCAGCCACTTTGAAAGCTTGCAGACGATGCCTGAGTAACAGATCCAGTCAAGGCTTCCTTTGTGGGTGCTGCAATCTCATTGGTTCAAGGTCACATATCACCCACCATGTCAGTGCCTCACATAATCAAAACAGAGCACCTGATGCGGCACCTGGGCAGAAAGCTCACAAGCTCCCAGGTCGCATTCCCATCATGTGCGATTGCTCACACTCCTCCAGAGAGGCAGCACACTCTAAGAACACTGCGAGGCGATAATTCATACAACAAAGAACGAATGAGTGTTTCATTTGTTCTCCACACTGACAGACCCCTGGAGCCACAGACACAGGCAGAGAGCAGCTTTGTTTTCCTAATGAATTACCTGCTTGGTTCTCTTAGGCTCCTTCCTTTTCTTTTTACGTTATCTCCATACAGCGCTGGCCTGCCAAATGAGAATGTGTATTGCATTGTGTTTGTTTGTAGTTCAGCGATCAGTTCGTTACTGCTGTTTGCTCTTCTGACTGCATGCACTCCAATTAACACCGAGTGCCATGAAAAGCCCGGGAAAGACCTTGTAGCCGTCTATTGACTTTCGGGTGAGATAACCCTGAAGCTCCTGCACAGATGTTGGTGGGAGGTTGTGCATTTCAGCTGTTGGGAGGTAAAACATACAGCTGTGCGCTCAAAACATCATGAGGAAAGAGCCTCAAAATGCAAGAAAAAAGTTTAGAAAAGCTGCTGGTGACTGACTGATGTGCTGGCATTTTGATTTCAGGAATACAGTAAAACTATCCTAACGAAAGCACCCAGTACTCATTACAACTAGAATGAAAACACCCTGTATTCATTACAACTAGTAAGACAACACTCAGTACTCATGATTAGAATGAAAACACCTAGCATTCATTATGGCTAGAATGAAATCACCCAGTACTCGTTACAACTAGAATGTAAACAGTTAGTATTTTTACAGCTAGAAATAGAATACCCAGTATTAATTACGGCAAGAATGAAAAGACACAGTACACACTATGACTAGAGTACTCATACTGGCTAGAATGAAAACACCCAGTATTCATTATGACTAGAATGAAAAAATCAATTATACAATGATGGCTAAAATAAAAACACCTAACGGCTAGATTGACAACACCCAGTGGTCATTACAACTCATCGTGCCACATGTAAGGCTAGTACCCTCAGACAGAAAGTTGATTCATTCTAACGATGGGCGCTACGTCAAGAGTGGTCTTAAAAGACTTCCCTCTCAAAGCTTCCTTGTAACAACTAACCTTTACACCGCAAAGCTGTCTGCTTAGCCCGAGGACATGTCAGAGCTGCATGCGAATCCCCCGTTTCAGTGCTGAGGGCTGTTACCTTGCAGGCTGCTTCGCAGGTGTCGTATACAGCTCGAGATTTACTTGACAAGCAGTGGCAAAAGTGGCAGCCGTTATTGATGTAAAAAAAAACGTTCCTGCAAAAGGGTTTATATGTGGGACAATGCACCATGTAGCCATTTTCACCTCGTAAGTCAGTGAGGTAAATTAGCGCTGCTCCAGGAGACAGCAGGCCAGTGTCATCTTTGTCCAGTGCTCACAGCCTCCAGGTCAATGGTCCTTTTCACTGGCTGACTCACATCAGAACGTCATGCTGAAAAGAACTTTGCCTCCATGGCGATCTGCTCATCCGCAGAGAGCGGCTGGGCTTGTCCAGGGAAAACCTAGGAAATAAAGTGCCAGCGGTCACAGGTGGTCACGGGTGATAAGGTGCTCGGTGCCCTGTCAAAGCGCCCCCCTCCTGCCCACATGGAGTCACATAGGACATTTGTGCTCCTTTTTTAGACAGCGAGAATGCTCTGGGAAACAACGTGTCCTTTAAAAGGCTCTTTGCTACTTTTAAAACACATTGTCCAAGTTCAGAGTGTTGACTGCAGCGTGTGCTTTTTCTGGCACACAGATACACACATTTGGGTATGAGATGCTGCATTTTTGGTGCTTTAATCTAAAGTCAACAATGTCAGATTCCTGAAGTGGAGAGCTGCAGGTTGTGTGCCATGTAATGCTAACGCTAACACAACATGTACCCCCCCTGCAGAGTTTAAATCAAAGTTCAGTTCGAAGGCCACTGTGCCATCTTTGTTGTGTCTGGTCTCACTTCTTCCATTGTTGATGGCGATGTCACTTTTGTTCTCTTCTAAGAACAGAGAAAAAAATCAGTTACAGAAGAAACTATTGATCGGTCATCACAGTTATTCACTGGAAAATAGCAAAAGTTTTATACCAGAAAGGTGTGGAAACACAGGAGAGTGACAGACAACATATCTCTGTCACTATCAAACCCATTTTTTTCTATGCATGATTTCGACATTAATTGTTGCAACATGTTAATTTCCATCATAAGAACCTATGTTGTTTAGACACACTGGGCATTAGCACTTAATGATGGTTCAAATACTAAGTTAAAATACACTGCTTATCCAGAAAAATAAAGTCACGCACTTTAATATTTCATCGGGCTGCCATTAGCTTTGATTATGGTGTACGTTTGTCAATGCATTGTTTCCATGTGCTTGTGCAACATTTTTTTTCCATCCACATTTGCATTCATTTCTCTTTGAGATCTTGTACTGATGATTGGTGAGTTGAACCACTCTGTGAAGTCTTCTTCAGCACATCTCAAAGACTTTCAATGGGGTTAAGGTCAAGACTGACAATTTGAATCTGATGAATGCTGGCATTATCGTCCTGGAATATGCCCATGGCATTAGGAAAGAAAAAACCCATTGATGGGATAACCTGGCCATTCAGAAGATTCAGGTACTCAGCTGACTTCATTTTATTGCTGCATAACATTGCTGAGCTGTAATAAGGATCAAGTCATTGGCTCTTAGGTACTTGCTGATTCAAAGTCAAATGGTGATTTTTTTTTTGGTCAGTTATGGTTAAAGTAAAGAAGCCTGGACCTAAAGACTATAGTCTGGTGTGGAGTAATGAACTCCATGCTTATTGGGTTTATGGAAAATAGTTAGGCCTATTAGACTATTCTGCTTTTGGGACTGAGGGTAAAGATTACAGAGCTGCACAGGGATGATATCTATCTCCCATCCACATCCACCCCCCTGCATTTACCAACACACCAACAGTACATATTAAAATAACACAAGTCCATATTTGTCTTTAAACACCTTAATTATTAAATTACTCACCTGGCACATTTCCCCAAACAAATTACAGTGCCAGAGCATGCAGGGCAAATAGCCCCTTGTCTTTGTGATTGTTAACGTTTGTTGTGTTCCCGGTTGTCGTCTGTGCCTTTTCCTGTGTCTTGCGTGAATCCTGTAGGATCCTCGCGTGTCTTCAGCAATTGTATAAATTATCCACCATGTGTGTGCCTTACAGACCAGGCGCGCAGTTAGCACCAGGGACGGATGGGTCCCCTTCAGATTCAGAGTGACCTCGATCCGTTCCCCCCCACTAAACAGCATCTGCCGTCTTTGCATAAGGAAAAAATATCCTTGGTCCCACCCAATTCAAAAATCCTATCTGCGCCACTGTTACAGACCAGCATCATACCTCCATGTTTCGGAGCTTTGTGCTGTTTAGTGATTGTTTGGCGTCTTTGTTAGTCCTATTAAAGGATTAATGAAAGAGCGATGTTTTCTACTTCAAGTGAGCTTGTCTTTCTTCCCCACTGCAATGCCTTGGTCTGCCATACATAACAATATTATTTTGTATTATCCAGACCAAATTATCGAAACGTACTTAGAACTAATCTGAAATGATTAACTTTGCTTACGTCTTTTCCACATTTGAGAGTGGTGTGCCTAGTACAATAGCACATTTCTCCCATAAATTGTTTTTCAGCAGCCCTGTACAGCCCTGGCTACACTGCCACCGGCTGGTGCGAACAAATAATTTAACAGAACAAAAGGACTTATAATTAATATAGCAGATAGCCCTGTAAGAATATACAGTATGTGCATATACAAGCAATTTCACTACCGTTACTGTGGTGTTACCATACATTTTATTCCGATTCCTGCAGGAATACCATAAAGATCACCTTCATTTGCACTGTTACCGCGGGAATATTTGTATACTGTATTTTTCCCCCATTCCCGTGGATTACGCGGATATCCGCAATATTACCGCTTTCCCCATTCCCATGCATCCCTCGAGCAGAGCAGTTTGTAGCTATTGAAAAGATCAAGGGCTAAATCAAGTTTACTGGGGGCTTGACTTTTTTAAGGAATATTGGCATCGGGGCTAAAATACTCGAGGCTAGGCTTAAAATAAGCCCTGAGTCATCGGCCCTAACGACGCCCATGCCCTCTGGTAAAGAAAAGGGCACTATTCCCTGTATGTGAGAGGCAAACATGGAAGTACCTAATACCAAACAGATTAGCGGTTCACATTCCAGATGGGAAATATCTTTTTCAGCCTTACCCAAATTTACACAGAACGTGACAGATAGGGAATGCCTTAATAACGTGAAAACAGTTTGCATTGTTTAATACTCCAAAACAGCCAGGGGTGCGTTTCTCGAAACCATCGTTGCTAACTACGTTAGCAACTTCCGTCGTTCGAACTATGTAAGTACGACGCAGGTGTTTCAAACTACATAGGTAACGATACTGCGGACTTACGTGGTACGATGCATCGTTAATGCTAACTTCCGTCGTTGTTCGAGAAACGCACCCCAGGTCAGGTTGAGGAGCAGGTGATAGCACGTTGCCACACCCAACACATGACGCAACGCCTTGGGATTCCGGTAGGTGTTCCCCCAGGCCAACGTGAGTGAGGTGCTACAGTATATGGGCGTCCCCTTGGACTGGTCCGGCCGCATGGGTCCTCAGGGAATCGGGCCACATGATCGGAGTATCGTAACTAATGCTCCCTCAAAATGTAGGTATTACTGTATGTTTCATTAGGGACTCCCTGAATAATAGTGATGGAAAGTTCGATTCAATTTACAGAGCCGATCCTACCAATCTGTATGTTTAAATAAATCGAACCTTTGATTCAAAGAGTTCGTTGTGACGCACTACGTACGTACATGCTGCTGCACTTTGTTAAATTACTTTAATCGAAACTGCATGTTTATTAAAATTCTTATGTATATAAAAATATTGGTTATCTCAGAGTCTTGTGAATGTATATCACTTCTGGTCTAATTAAAGTGAAAAACAATCATGTAACTTTAATGTTGTAAATATAAACGAACAGTTAGCCTCGAAAAGCCTAATAAAATAAGAGTACCTTTTTGCAAACATATAATCTAAAATGCTTTAATTAAAGGATAAAAACCAACATCAAAGTCACAACATACAGAATACAACAAAAGCTGTTCGTAAAGGCTATTTACTTATCCGGATCTCTTAACTTCAGCACAATCAGCACCGGTCACTATGGGTTTTGGGTAGGCCTATGCCGAAGGGAACGGAAAGCAACACGGCCACGCACAGTGTACAAGTAAATTTTAAATGGTTATTGTGTGTTTTTATAAGTTAATTTGTCAAATGTTAACTGTTCAACGTGTGGATCTACAAAAAGTTCGATTCTTTTAGATTTGAAAACCGATTCGATCGATTCACTGAAAAAATCGGTTCAAAAGAATGATTCGTATACGAATCAGAAATATCACTACACAACAACCCCCCGTCGGTACCCTGGGACTCTCAGAAAAGAAAGTACCAAAACAACTTCTAAAATCAAATTTATATCACACTTTACTGGTAATAAACATTGAAAATTATAAAACTGGGAAATGGGTCTATAGACAGCCTGCAACACACGCGCGCGCAAATACACACATAGCCTACACAAACCACAATAACAGAAGATACAAATAACAGTTTTGTTTTCATGTTTCATCTGTCAAAAACATGTATGCAACGATCAATATGAAATAGTACAAATTACTGCTATTGTTAGACAGCTATAGAGATCCACTGTGTAATCGTTAATTTCCCAATATAGCATTTAAGAAGCTGTTTTCCTTTGTCGCTGGTTCTTAAGGTAAGCTAGGTTAATTGATTTTTTTTTTGTATGTTTTTTAACGCCTTTCTATCGAGAGGAAGAGGCTTAATGTGAATGTTATCATTTTGCCATTTGGGTACAGTTTAATGCATATGGTGAAAGGATGTAGTTCTGGCCAGTAATGTACTTGAAAATATGGTTTAAGTTGTTATGGTACAATAAGACACGCTACGCTGTCTTCACATACAGTATAATGCGTTCCTATAGAGATTTAAACGCTGCTTTGAATTGAATAATTTTGCCTTTGGAGTACAATTTCGTGTATTTAGCAATAGAATGCATTCTTGGTTTTCCTAAGTTGTTGGTTTGGTACATTACGCCACGTTAAGCTTTTACACATGCAAACGTAGGGCGGTTTATCTGTTATATTTAAGTTTTGCAACAATACTGTTGCTGCTTAAAAATCCGCTATAGACATAAGAAGCCCAGAGAAGACAGTATAGGCTATACATAGGCTATACCACCTGCCAATGCACATGAAGTTAAACCATGCAAATACCTGTCCTCACACAAGCGGAAGCTTGAATTCACATTTAACACGAACACGTCTTATGTCTCTGCTGATATACTGATAAAAAGTAATATTATTGCAATGATACTCCTTTTCTCTCTTTTAAATATATGTATAGTGTGTGTAGGTATGTGCTAGCGATCACGGCTGCTGAAATTATTTATATAGATCACTGAGATTTCAGTGACTAAATGATCGTAGACGATTATGTTAATATATGATAATTTACAATTACACTTAGTTTTATAGCGGGAATGCGCTTTTTTCGTATTGCGTAATTAGGGTAAATATCCTCAGGACCGTGGTCTCTAGCTGAGATCGACTTACAAACAGGCATACGGGAATACAAATAATGTTTTATGCATAATTAACCGCGATTCTCCACCACGGAAAACGTTACTTTCTGCTCGTCGCAGCGCCCGCAATTAGCCGCGCCGCTCCGAGGACTCGGCACTTCGCAACGGAGACCTTGATAGCAGATTAATATTGCTTTAATTACGCCTTGGTTCATCATGTATTGATAATTCGCAGCTGGCTGTTTTATTAGATAAAGTGAGGGCTCGTAATGGGCTTGTTATAGGGCTGCATGTCTCTAGTTAAAACAAGAGTGCCCTGTAAACACCAAAGATATCACTTTGTTTCCTGAGAGAAACCAGGCTTTGAAACGCTCAGTGGGTGGGACCAGGGGCGCCGCCAGAAATCTTGGGCCCCATGAAAGATTACAATTTTGCCCCCCCCCCTTTTTGCGAAAAGGTAAAGCCCCTAACAGGGCCCCATGTCAGTGCTGGGCCCCTAGAATTGTTCTAACCTTTCCCCCCCTGGCGGCGCCCCTGGGTGGGACTGTCATGTGTTGTGAGACACTACTCAGTGTAAACCAATTATAAGTCAGTTAAAGAGCTGCAATATTGCCATAATCCCATAAACTGAATTTTCACTGAGTCTCTATTGGTTATCGCTCACTTTTACCCCATCATCACAAACATGGTGCCTGCAGCTTGTCTCAGGAAGAATCGCAGGCGACATCATGGACTTGTAACTTGAACATTCTTGTTCACAAAAGTGCGCCTCCTGCAGGACTGAGAAGAAATGGCTTTGATGTGAATACAGTAAAATCCCGTTATAGTGGACTCGCTTATAACGGAATATCGTCAATAACGGACTAGGTCCACTGGTCCCGGTCGTGCGCCTTTGAGAACATACAGAAAAAGCATCGGATACAGCGGACTCTCATATAACGGAATTTCGCTTATAACTGACAAACAATTTGGTCCCCAGGGCCGCTTTTAGCTGTAGTTTTGTTCGGCTATAACAGACATGCAGGCTCCGCTTCAGCGCAGATACGTAGTCGGGATTATTAATAGTCACGCATCTGCTCAGGTAAAGTTGGATTACTACATGTACAATATAATAATCTATACCACAAGTGTGTCTGCTGGAGTGTGGCATGAGTAAATGGTGTCCTGTAGTTGTGTTCTGGGCATACAGCAACTCTGGATATAACGGACTGTTTTGCCAGGTCCCTTGAAGTCCTTTATATCGGGATTTTACTGTAATTGTGAAAGGAGTAAAAATAATAATAATTGGATATAAGCAACAGCTAGATAAGTGGTTCGCAATAATATTGACCTAAAAATGAATAAAAACTCTTTTATCACATTGAGAAAATCATATTATGACCCCCCAATTATTTGGTGATCCCCTGGGCGGTTGTGATCCACAGTTTGAGAACCATCGAGTTAAATAACTCAGTACAGGGAACAACAGCAGATTCCGTCATGGGTATCGTTATCTTCTCACAGGCTTAGTGAGAGAACCTTTACCTGTCACGTCAGATGAATAATGTTGTCCAATCACAGGGGTATGGCTAAGGGAGGGCAGGGGGTGCAGTGCTCACCCAACAGACCAGGTCTAACCAATCATTAGTGATCTAATTGAATATTCATAGGAGCCCCTATATGAGAGAAAATATGACTTGGTGCCACCTCTCCTCTCGGTTACTGTCGCCACCCTTATTATAAGTAGCTCCCCCAATTATTTTCTAGAAGTAGCTCTCATTGTAAATAAGGCTGGAGATCCCTGTCCAATATTCAAGCAAACTTTCACATCATGGTCAGACTGCCCACCAGGGGATCCCCAAGACCTCTGACATTATTCCAGCACTGGTGCTCTCCCACTGTGGCCACTGCTCACCACAGGAAGGAAGACAGCCTGGTAACATCGCAGCACTCTCTGTTGTGACATGCAGTGCAGCGTGGCTGTTCATGAGGACACACCTGAAACTTGATTTTGGTATTTGCTGGTGCATGAGCTCTTGAGGCTGTGAATTTCTGTCCTGATTTATTTGGGTTATGTAAGCACTGGTGTGACAGGCCACGGACTTGTGATTAAAGGGTTCAAGTCCAATGTGAGGCAGCGTAGTTTGAAAAATACACTTCAAACATTTAAATACCATGTCTACCTCGGTGAAGATTAGTGGAGAATCATGGTCCTTGTCTCCAGAGTCTGATTCTCACACTGAGCACATGGAGAATGGGTTTAAATAGCATTTCAACTTTCAAAAAGTTCCATGTTTTCAGCAGATTATAGCATCAGGCTATAGGGTTTGTATCAAGCATTTTTATTAATCACTCAGACACACATAAGGACAGGGTATTGGCATACAACACACATAAAATGATGTGCAGACCATCAAACACATACAGACACAAGGATGTTTGAACAGACATTTATGGTGGAGATACTTTCCAGGTCCTTCATCTAATCAGTGTTTGTAAACAAAGTGCATCAATGTGATCCGGCCATAATGACCCTAATTACAGCCTTTCAGCCGCACTGCTGCTATCTATGATGAATGGCACTGATCAGTCTTATTTATTTTCATTATCAATGTTAATTGTAAATCTTGGTGAGTAGCACTGTCGCTTCACACCTCCCGTGTGGTGAGGTTCATTCCCACCTCTGCTTTCTGGGTGTGGACGTCACATGTCCTCTCCCTGTCATGGTGGCTTCTTCCTGCAGTTTGGTTTCTCTAAATAGTCCAGTGTGTGTGGATTATGTTCATATTTCATTCTGGGGACCAAATGTCCCCCACAATGTGATAAAAACCATTTTCTTTCTTGTGGGGACCATTTTTCAGGTCTCCTCAAAGATCTGTGAATGCAGTCAAAAAAGTAAAAAAGCCAAAAGTCTTGTATTTAGTTTGGTTACTTATGGTTAAAGTTAGGGCTGGGTAGGGGTTAAGGTCATCATGTTGGGAATAGAGTCTCCCCCAAAGAAATTGGGGAATGATATAATTACAAACCTGTGTGTGTGTGTGTGTGTGTTTGTGTGTGTGTGTCCTGTGATGCACCCCTCCAGGTTGTAACCTTATCCCTTATGCTGAGCCTGTGATAGGATCTAGGCCAGTGTTTCTCAACCCAGTACTTGGGGACCCCCAGTCGGTCCACATTTTTGTTCCCTCCCAGCTTGAGAAACACTCCTCTAGCCCCCATACCCCCCCCCCCCCCCCTGACAGCGCAGGCCGCTGTTATCTTCTGTTTATCCAATGTGTCCCCACCCTGCTGCCTAGAACAGGCAGACCCTGGCCAGGATAAGTGGTAAGTGGACAGGTTAGTGGCAGTTTTGTTCCATGTGCCTTGTTTGTGATCATCTAGAAGCCCCTTCCATGCTGTGCAGCTTCTGTGAGAACATGTCAAGAGATGGATATGAAGCCACGACTTTTCCATCGTCGCCTTCCCAGCTTCCAAGCACTGCTCTGGTCTGCCATAATAATAAGAACCCTGTTGTTCTATATAAGCTTCAGTTTATTTGTCCCTTTTTCATTTTGCTGCAGGCAAGATTAATTGTTCTTATTGTTTTATCGTCATCGAAGTGGGAGCTGTTATGAGACAGCGCACTGCCCGATGTCTGTTAGCAGTCATCGAGTGGTGTATGGTCTTTGTATAACCCCTGACAGCTTGTGTTCAGGACACCGGGAACGACACTATACATGAAAGAATGGGGAGACACGCTCATTGTTGTTTGTCTTTGCTGAAACTCAAGAACGCCTTTTTTTCCTCTGCATGACACAGAAGCGTTGATGAAAGAGAGCATTTGCTACAGGGCTTGTTTCTGTCTACCGATAAGTAACCGCGGAATCTTTTTTCCCGACTCGGAGGAGGACGGGGCTGGAAGCTGCAGGAGCTTCTGCCTGAGGAGCGGCCCGTTCCCCTTCAGATTGAAGTGTTTTGTCAAAGTGAGATTTTACTCCCAGAAAATTCTCAGTCACGCTTTTAATATACCTGCTTTGTCTGCCTCCATTTAAGCGTCCCTCTGAAGAAGCGGGGAGAGCAGCCCCGCGGCTGATTTCAGCACTTCTGAGATCTCACTCCTCTCATGCCTTCTGCATGTCATTTTTCGGTGCTGAGCCGATGGCTGCAATATTCACGGTGCTTTACTTGGATTTAGGCTTTGAACCTGTCTCATCAGGGGGCTGGGATACAGCCTCAGATGAGAAATTTGCAAGACAATTCAAGTGTTTTTGAGAGTGACCAGTTTGCACCATCATGTTCCTAACTTATGAACATGTTCCTCTTTATTTTTATAGCTGCAGAGGCAGGAACAGCAGGAAGGTTTCTCTGTTTGTAAACCTGCGATGGTCTTTCAAAGCTACATTTCTTTATTTGTTACAGGAATACGTCATCTGGCTCTTTTCAGTGCTTTCGGGCTCATTCAGACTGAGCCGTGTGTCCCCGAGATATGAGTTGTGTAGCTTGATGTCGTGATCTGCCTTTTGTTCCTGGGAGAAAGGATGAAGGGGCAATGAAAAATCAGAAAAATCAGGCTCACTTTTTCCATAACTGAAGTGAAATTGAATAAAAGTTTCATCCTTTAATGTTAAATTAATATTTTAATTTAATTTTACCCCATAGCATGGCTTACTGGAAGGAAATGAGGGCAATGTTTATTAACTACCTGAGGAAGTTTCTCCAGAAACTGATCTCTAAGACTGACTATGGTGGAGGGTCCCTCATACATGAATTTTCACTTCTTACACATTCTTTTATGAAATATGATTGGCATTCAAATATTAAAAACAAAAATCAGTAGATATATATTCTTTTATATATCATTTGATATTGACCAGCCATGTTAGGTTTTTCAAGGGAAAGCAGTGTAAGAGTAAGACAGATAGATATTACAAAGATACTGACAGCAGTGTTGATCTCTGATGGACTTATATAAATCAACTGGAAGTCTTCATAGAGTTCAATGTCTGTCTTTTTAAGAGAAAACTTGTATATATTCAGTGTAAATATGCAAACACATTACTTTTGCTGGCTCCCAGGAGCACTGTATCTCGCGGAAGAGCGGCATGCTGGGATTGCTGGAGGCCCAGCCCAGCTCCACCTATGGCAGCATCCAGTGGCCATGACAACCTAGTGCACTTGCAGTGTAAAAAAAACAGTGCTTACTTAAAACCACACTGCTTACCTGGCACCGCCTCCCCAAATCACAAGAAATTGAAAGGGATAATGGAAGCATTATGGTCACCGTGATTTTGGGGGTTGAAAGGGACCCTTTGTTTGCTAGCCTTTGTCCACTAGTGTTACTACAATTATTCATCGAGTTTTGGTATCAGCTATTTATACCACAGCTAACAAAATGTATGGAGGCCATTGTTTTGTCCTGTTACTCAGTGAGTGCGAGCGAGTATGCCTGTGTGTCAGTACGTGTCCATGATTGCCTGTATGTATCCACTCGCTGCCGTGTCGTGCTTCGTTGTTGAGCACCTCACTGTTTCAGTATGTGCAGTCCAGCACAGCATGTGAATAGTGTCCATTAAGCACAGCGTTTATTTTTCTCTGTGCATGGATCTGTGATATCTTGTCCCCCCTGCCGGGGGATTTATGTAATTGTGAATGATATTAGCAGCCAAACAGCTTCCCCATTATCTGCCAGGCCCCTCAGTGTCTGTTGAGAACAGGTATGTGGATCTCTGTCTGTCCCCTTTGTGAGTCTGTCCCCTGCACCATCAGCATTTTGTGTCTCTCTTCAGGGTACAGCTGGCCGCTGCCTCCAACCCTGTGCCCAATCTGGATCTACCTGGACGTCCTCTTCTCCACAGCGTCCATCATGCACCTGTGTGCCATTTCCCTGGATCGTTACATCGCCATACGCAATCCCATCCAGCACAGCCGCTTTAACTCCCGGATGAAGGCCTTCATGAAGATCATGGCAGTCTGGACCATCTCTGTTGGTATGTGCTAATATGGTGGTCTGGACCATCTCTATTGCTATGTGCTAATACGGAGGTCTGGACCATCTCTATTGGTATGTGCTAATATGGAGGTCTGGACCATCTCTATTGGTATGTGCTAACAGGGAGGTCTGGGCCATCTCTATTGCTATGTGCTAATATGGCGGTCTGGGCCATCTCTATTGGTATGTGCTAATATGGCGGTCTGGGCCATCTCTATTGGTACAGTATGTGTTAATATGGCGGTCTGGGCCATCTCTATTGGTGTACGTTAATATGGTTTCAGCAGCACATGAGATCTTTGTGCTGCGGTTGTTGCTGTTGTGAGTCAGTTACCAGCTCTCATATTGTAATTGTGGAAACACTGTGGAACAGAAATGGACCTAAGGATGTTCAAATATCTCAAACACTTGTAAACATACTTAATTTCCCTGGTGGAAATGAAGACCCCTGCTTTCAAAAAGAGTGTTCATATATTCATATGAAAAGTCTTTAATTAAAAATCTCCCAGCCAGATCCTGGATATACTTAGTCCAGTTGGTTTTACATATTAACTTATGCTGATGGCTTCTGGAGCGTGACAGGCATTGCTTGGTTCTCTTTAGATCAGCTATTGAGAAAAAGGTGACTGAAACTATGGCTAAAATAATGTTAGTCAAATCAATTACAGTAGATATTGTCCACATTGATTTTCTGAAAAAGCAACTGATTTATTAGTGATCTACCATGTACAGCATGTCCAGATACAGGCCAACTGGGTCTGGGTATTATGAAAACTCACATGAAATCTGTTGGCAGAGCACAGATAAGAGTAACAAAAGTGCGTGTCGAAGAACACCTGCATGCAGGAAAACTATTGGTAGTTCTCAGCAGCTGCCTGATTTGGGGTCTTAGTGCCAAACACAGCCTGCTGCCAGACTGGACCTTTTCAATCAGAGGCCCTAAGTGTGTGCAGACTGTCTCGATGACTGGCTACAGAGCAGCCAATGGAGGTTGGATGATGAGTGCTTGAAAGTGCCCTCTTAATGTGTGCCCACAGACAGCCGCTGTTTATGGGCTGAGTTGTTGATGACTGTTGTCCTTGGGAGAGCCACTACAGGCTACTTCTGTGCTACTATGATTGCGGCGCAGCACATATGAGGGCCTTTAAAAGCTCCCTCTGGTGTTTCCAGTGAGGAAGTTGACTGGTTAAATAGTCTGTGCTTGAAATTGTCATGCTGCTTGACGGAAGGACTGGCTTGCTACTTTAGTACAGTTTAATGCTTCGTCAAAGCTAATTATAGGCTTGCCAACTTTGGTCGGCTGGCTGAAGTGAGATTTTCAATTTGAGATAAGTCGACACACACATTTTTACATATGTAACAGTTTTATTGCATTGCAAATAGTCTGTAGGGTTTCAAACTACCCCAATGTGTTTGATGCAGCTAATTGTAGGTTTATAATGGAATAATATAGATTTGCGTAGGATTTCTTGCATGAGCATGAGTGTTTGAAACTGCGACTGTCACGCCAGATGCGTGAGACTTGGAAACCTTGTAATTAGCATAACCTCTGAAGTTAAATAACCCCACACATGTATCTTGCTATTTTTCTTACGTAAGGAACAATATTATTTTATTCTTTCCAAAATTTTTTGCATATGCACACTTTGCAAATTGACTGAGATGCTCATTTATCAGAGGGTAACCAAGTGATTCCACAATAATGTGTTTGCCACTTGTAACCGGGATGTGGACACAGTTAATGGGCATCACACAAACTCGCCTGCTGCTTGCATGCAATCGTCCACCCCTGAAGTTCAAACAGCACCCAAGTTCATCCTTCAGCAATAAAGCCAGTCCTGAAATATTTATGTCACTTAATGAAAAGCAGCAATGACAGCGACACCATTATTTTTATGAGCTTGACAATTCGCTGTAAAAACAGTGGGCACAACGGTGTCATAATTTTAAATAACAAAGTCCTAATTGGATGGTGAAATGTGGACGGTTTTATTTCACAGTCATGATTGTGATTGCTGTCCGTGACTGCAGCCTGAACCAACAGAAATGTGTCAAGTGAAAGTGGTTCAGTTTAATTTGGTCAGTACATGCTTCATGCATTCATTTTCCGTGCATGTTTATTCATTCACAGCAGTTTACCATGTAAGGGCAATATATATATATAAGTAATACAAGTGTGTATTGTGAAAGATAAAAATGAACCCCAGCCCAGAATTAATACTAGTGTGGTCATATTAGTCATGCATCATTGTATAGTTGTGTTATGAGAATATACAGTAAACCTATTTGAGCAGCAACAGACAAGCTAGGGGGCTCTGATTATGGGTAAAAGTGCAATTTTTGAATACTTAAAGAAGAAGGTTATGAGTCTTTTTTACTTTAACCACAGAGGCTACAGTACGTAGTCAGAAAAGGGGCATATTTCCTGTTCTGCACGCAGTCGGAGGAACACTGACACACTGCTGGGAATTCTCATATATACAGCTTTACAGCCTCAAATGGCAACATTTACAAATGTTTCAAAGTTTGCCATCAAGCAAGTTGACTCATTTCCTGTCGCTTGTCACTCAGGGCTGTTTTACTGTTTTTAACCACCTATGTCTACAGTTCCTGGTCGGTGCCACTTATGTTTGCTCACACTTTCCTGTCAGTCACACAGGTATATTTTAGGCTTCTAGCTTCGCTTGCCTGGTGCCATGTTTGACTTGCGATCAGTTTGGATTTCCCAATGGCCAGACTATGGTCTGTCTTGATAACCTCATCATTCGGTTTTAGATTTGCTGAGAGATTTTTGGGTCTAGATAAGTACAACAGGCAGAGGAATCTGCACTGTGAAGGCTGCTATTACCGGAAAATGTATTTGGAATTTAATGTAGGCTCTGGTTAATGTTGTTTCCATGCACAAGGGATTTAGTCTGAATTATCTCCATGCAGGAAAAATATTTAGTATAAAAATGCATTTTGTTTAGCATAATGTTTGTGGAAATGTCTTTGCTCATTGAATAAACTGGGTTTCATATTTATACATGATATAATTAAGGATTGTGTGAGTGTATATAAACCGGTTGTATCAGTTTTTGATATGCACTTAGATACACACAGACATGTAGCTACTTGCGATCTCTCCTTACATTAATAACACGATACCCCCATCTTCATATCCGCAGGGATCTCCATGCCCATCCCTGTCCTGGGCCTCCGAGATCACTCGAAAGTTTTCAAGAACCACACCTGCCAGCTCACGGACAACAACTTTGTTCTGGTGGGCTCCTTCGTGGCCTTTTTCGTCCCCCTGATCATCATGGTGGTCACCTACTTCCTGACCATCGGTGCCCTGCAGAACGAGGCCACCCTCTGCTTGGACCAGCTGGTACCCAAACCCAAGTGGGCCATTCCCCTCAACTTCCTGCCACAGGGCTCCCTGTCCTCAGAGAAGCTCTTCTTCCGGCGGTCGCTAAGCCGGGAGGCGGGGCCTCAGGCCGGGAGACGGACCATGCAGTCGATCAGCAATGAGCAGAAGGCCTCTAAAGTTCTGGGTATCGTCTTCTTTCTCTTTGTGTTCATGTGGTGCCCGTTTTTCATCACTAACGTGCTGGCCGTGGTATGCGGTGGGGCCTGCAGCGCCGGCATCATGGACGGCCTCCTCAACGTCTTCGTGTGGGTGGGCTACCTTTCTTCCGCTGTCAACCCGCTCGTCTACACGCTGTTCAACAAGACGTACCGCTCTGCCTTCTGGCGCTACGCCCGCTGCCGGTACCGAGAGGAGAGGAAGCCACTGCAGCTCATCCTGGTCAACACCATCCCACCAGTTGCCTTCAGCCACAGCCAGCTGCCTCTGGGTGACATCGCCCCTCTGAGGAACGGGAACTGTGGAGCTGGTCGTCATGGTTACGCCCCCGTGGCCTCGAGGGAGGACAAACTTGGTTTGTCTGAGCTCGGGGGGATGAGCACTGGTGAGGAGAAGGTCAGCTGCGTGTAACCGGAGACTGGGGAGGGGGCTTGTATATTTCCTCACTATAAGAACCATGGCAACCATGCAGGAAGTCCTGCAAATAGCTGTTATCTGCAAGATAAAGGCTCTGGGTTAAAGAGCGATTGATAAGGGAGCAATTAACGATGGAGCAATTGATGACAAAAGGACGAATCAGATAGAGGCACGACAAGAAGTATCCGCTGCTTTATGGACAGTGTTTTGTACTTTGCTGAAAGCATATAAAATAACCGAAAGCCGGTCTGCCTCAGAGAAACTGTGACCTCTGAACCCATACCACATATTCTTGTAGGAGACAAGCAGTCGATCCTGCACCATGCAGCGTTTTGATGCCAAACAGCTCATGTGTGTCCCATCCCAATCCTGTCCCATTTCTTTTTTCAGTCAGTTCTAGGGATGGAATCAGCTTGATGAGGTGTGGGCAGGCCTTGTTGCGTTATCAGGACCTGGAGATGATTGATACAGATGCATTGTGGTTAGTGACCAGTCCAGCCACTCTGGAGTCCTTGCTCAGACGTTTGCAGAGCATGAACGTGTGGAGATGGCAGCATCACTGCACCATGTGAATCTCTCTCTCTCTCAGAGAATGGCGCCGGCTGTGAGGCCGCATAGCTGTTGTTGGCATCCTGTGTGGCTTTGTTGTGTTATTTAAATGATTCAGCCTGTCAGAAGTCACTAAGCCTGTTCCATCTAGACCCCCCCCCCCCACAAATCTCCTTTCATCCATTTAATTTCTCTCTGACACACAAACACACACAAACTCTAATTATCGCTCCTCGTCTGTTAAGTCTTTCTCACACACGCTCACCTCTCACATTCTCTCTCTCCTTCTCCATCTTTCACTCTCTCTCCACCTTTACACCTCACAGGATCAGCCTCAGTGAGTATACAGTCGTTGTCTTATGGCCATTTACTCAACTTTAAATCTTTAATATGCCCATGACATGTTTCATGTGTGATTTTTAACCAGGGCACCAGTGTGATCTTGCTCCTATGAATTTCACTTTACTTTCAATAATTAAATTAAATATTCATTGTACCATTATCAGAGGACATTTTTCCTATCAAATGAATAATATCTGATATATTTTCCTTGAACTGTCATTAAATTATATTAATATTATATATATATATATATAAAATTAGAAATGGTATGTTGATATGTACTTGTTGGCTGTATCTGATTTCTGTTCCATCTGATTACAAAAGTAAGAGCCATAACCTCCTTCCAGGTTAGTTTCAAAGCTAAAAAAGTCATAAGAATTGTCCTACATTAGTATTTCAAAAGGTGTTACATAGATTGAATAGATTATGACAGTCACTGTAAGCTGAAGATCACCCGACACTGTATTGTGATTATTGTTGTAGCTGACATATCAATGATATGTGGACATCACTAAATATTAAAAAGTGTCATGCTATGGCCGGCTGGGGGCAGCCTTACGGAAACATTGGAAGTGTTTGTTGGTCTGTCGCTGGGAAAGAGGCTATGACACGACAGGTCATAAAGCTCATAGAGCAGAAGAGAGAGAGACCCAGGGTGCACAGATCCACTGGGGAAGGTGTTCGTTAAATTGCATGATCAGATTTCCGCAGGACTTCAGTTCATTCCAAGGCGTGTCAGCTTTGATTGACTCTGTTGTTGATACGCACTTGACATAAAAGCATCAGAAACAGTCGATACTTAAGGTCCACACTTGCCTCACTGAAAGACGCTGGCATTTCAAAAGGTGGTTGCTTTTTATGCCGATAATTGGACCTTGTCAACAATGGCAAAATTAAGAACCTGCTGTTCAAACACAATTTGTGCTGGTTTTTCACAAGTCAGTTTCCCCGTGTTACTCCTCTAATCACACAGAGCTATGTGGTTCTCCTCTTGGCCATGATGGAGTCAAAAAAAGGAAAAAAACTAGAGCAGATACCTGACAAATACACAGAGGTCAATAGTTCAGGTCCAGAAAGTAAAAATCCAGATCAAGATTTTGTTTCAAAATCTCTGTGAGTACTCTGTGACTGTGACTCTTTCTGCTTAACTGGTTGGTTGAAACAAAGTCTTGGTCTGGATTTTTACTTTGTGGACCAGAACTACCTTCCTGTACAAATAAACTGTGCTGTGAATGAACCACCACCCAAACACAGGTACAGTATGCTACTGTAGGAGCCACATCGTCAGGAACAGGGTAAATGTGGTGCAGAACCAAACTTATCCTACAAAGATACTTTCTCAGCACATGAGTCAAGAAGCCTTAGGCCAGGATTTCTGGAAGTGAACAACAACACAGCAGGGTACACTATAAGGACAAGGGGAACAGATCAACACAGACACCTGACACACCCTGTTCCTATAGAAACAGACTATTACAAATGCTGGAATGAGTCTGATTCCTACCACTTTCTTCTGAAGTAGTTCATCCTCATCATCGCCATTATCATCATCCCTCTGAACTTGTCTGAGTGTCTTGAGAAGTTTTGCTGCCCGAATTGGCCACTTGAAAGCTGGACAGGCACACATTCTCAGGGTGGGATCTCACACACAGACCTGACACATCAGACAATGCATTTGATCTCTGTCTCACGTGCACTTCATGTCCAGCCCACCAACAATGAGGATATTGCTTTCAGTTTAAGGTGTGAATAATTTGGTTATATTTTTGTCTTTTTCCCTGCCCCCTCCCTTCTCCTCTGGGGCCTCGTCTCCACGTCAGCGTGTTTCATCTGCTTTTTCTTCTCATCCTTTTCCCTTCTATTTCTCTCCTGAACCGTGGAGAAATCAATACATGATATTCTTCTTTAAACTACATCATGCTCCGTTTGAAGTAGATATTTGTGAGAGAAAAGGCATTCCTTTGGCATTTAAATAACTTTCATCTTCATCTGAAGCCAAGCATTCCATAAGTAAACATTTTGAAGAAAAAACACACGCAAAACACTTTTACACAAACATTGGTATTCATGGGAAATCAAATGGAGTATATATACAGCATTTATGGTACACAAAAAGTCCACTGTCTTCTGACACTTAAACCTTGTAAACCACCTTCTTTTTCAAGGTTGACAGGCAAACAGTTCTAACTATTTAACAGTTTTGTACAAGTTAGGATGCATTAAACAGTGTTTCAAGGTTTTGCCAGAAAGACTGACAGCCTCAGCTCAGAAGTGCCTCCTGCCCCCCCGCCCAGATTGATGCACAGAGACTGGCCCCACTTCCTCCATGGGCAAACACCTGCCCTGTATCTGTGCCATCCGCAGTGCTCTGCGGGGCCCCCCAGAGGAGGGGAACGGAGCCAAACCTGGGGTTAAATTACGAGGCACCTGACAAGCAGGAGGCAGGAGGAGCAGATCGCAGCCCCATGCCTCCGTATCCAGGCCCATCTGAAGGACCCCTCTAATGATTCTGCACCTTATAGTCAGCATTGACGCCCTACACTTATTAGGTCGGCTTTCACTTATTCATAACATTTACGTTTATATTGGGTGCCTGAAGCAACAGACAGGTCATGTGGTTTCTGTTCAAATCCATCAGTTCTGACCGGGCATCTTTTTGGGGACCGCTCATTCATTTCTATGGGAAAAATGCTAACGCTAACTATGACAACCTTAACCCCTACCCAACCCTAACCATAACCATAACTAACCAAGCAAAATACAAGAGTTTTTGCATTTTTAGTTTTTTTTAGGAAACTATAAGGTAAAAAAAACGGGTATTCATCACCTTGTGGGGAGATTTGGTCCCCATAAGGAAAGGTATATCTGGACCACACACACACACACACACACATTTGTATTCATACCTTTGTGGGGACTCTCCATTTATTTCTATGGGCAAAATCCTAATCCCAACAATGACAACCATTTGTAACCAAAGAAAATATAAGACTTTAGGCATTTTTAGTTCATTGCAGTCACAGATTTTTATCAAATTGAGGTTTATATTTTGGGGACCTGAAAAATGTCCTCATAGCTAAAAAGTAACAGGTTTTACCACATTGTGATAAATACAAAACCACACACACACACACACACCAGTGACATTGACAATGAAGATCAAAGCCCATCAAAGCCAGGTGAGTGCAGGCAACGTTATCGATGTTGTTTAGGGAGGAAATGTCGACATTTTTCTGATTATCTGGTCCTTTTCCACAGATCAACAATCCTAAAAAAGACCAAATTTTTAACCAATTTTTTAAAAATCATTATTTGGTCATTTGCAAACAGGTTCTGCTCATGACTTTGTATAAATCATAATAATGGATTTTCAAATTACTGACCTCTAAAAAAGGACATTACAACCTCTCCTTAATCATAAAAGATACCTGACCTGACCCATGATCTTCAAGTGTTCATCAAATCAATTTTGAGAACATTAAGATGTAGCGTTTACACAAACACAAAAATTTATATCGCCTTTTACCACCAGCTGCCACGTGATTAAGTAATAAAACCAATAAATAATAGCTCTCCTGACAAATGGATGTGGATTCACTTTCTTTGCTGTTGCCATGGTGCCTGAGTTGAATCAAAGATTGTCATCCCATCGGCCTGCTCACTCGCTTTGACAATGCCGATACGATCCCTCAGCTAGCATGCTTCACTCCGTTACTGAATCCTGGGTTTTGGATCAGAAATAATCAATTAGTCTGTAAGATGATCTTCAGTTCAGTCTTTGTTATTTCATAACCAAAACCAATCTAAAAATGGGGGAGAGGAATTACAGTGAATAAATGGTTAGGCCCATATGTTTTGAATGGCATGACTGTATGACTGGCAGGGATACATGATGACTTTGGGCCATGCTTATTACCTATGTGTGATTACTACCCATAGATCAGTCAGGTGCCAGTGCTTAAGTGCATCCAATGATGTTAGAATCCTTCTTTGCTCAGATTTGATATTTCGTTCAATTTGATTTTCAGGTCCAAATCTAAGCAGCCTGAGAATCTTCATATGTTATGGCAGTTTGCAAATGCATAAAAGCATAGACATGTATGCCCATATTTTGTATGGTTTACAGAACAAGTCGCTGTGTCATTGGCTTATACTATCTGCAAATAAACAAACTGTCCATTTCAAGAAAAAAAACTGCATTCATCTAATCAATGGGA